AGGGGGCGATTAGTAACAATTTATATTTTGGGGGGCGAAAAACAATTTTCTGGGCGATATAGTAAAACATTATACTGTATTAAGAATAATTAGATATTTTAATTTTTATTTAATTTTTAATTTTAATTTTTATTTAGATTTTTATTCGTTATATCGTACAATAATTAAACAAATAGCATTATACTAATCACTAGTCTATTCAATGCAGTACGAATTTGGCGTTAGCCTTGACCCTCGACATCGGAATTTTGAAGTGAAGGGGGCGACACTACGTTGAAGGGGGCGACGATTCGTTTGAGGTTGAGAAACACTGATCTAGATCGAAATGCTCGGTGCGAACGGGGTATTACTATCTTACCGTAACGTGAGGAAAAAAATGAAATGTATTTATCCCATCTCTTCCCCTAGTTAATATATGTTTCTATCTCGTTTGTGAAACTGACCCAGTCGGGACAACTTGACTGACCATGACGACTGGGCGCCCGTACTGTACATTGGGGCACTAGGGGTACCTACCCCCTTTGTTGTCGGGCTGCCTTTTTCTTAATCCTCAAGGAAGTTTTAAGATTTCATTTTATTTTTAAACTAGCTTATTAATTAAGACCAGCTTTGTCCGAGTTTATAAAGTACACCTCGCACTCGGAGTTATTAATTGTAAATTTCAAAATATATGTAGTAAAACGAATTTTAAGAACATTATCAGAATGCCTATAACTACGTGGAAAGTTTTTTTCTCATAAATAGCGAGGTTATAGACAAATTATTAAAATTAATTTGGTTTCGGNAAATAGCATTACACTAGTCACTAGTCTATTCAATGCAGTACGAATTTGGCGTTAGCCTTGGCTCTCGGCATCGGAATTTTGAAGGGAAGGGGGGCGACGATTCGTTTGAGGTTGAGAAACACTGATCTAGATCGAAATGCTCGGTGAGAACGGGGTATTACTATCTTACCGTAACGTGAGGAAAAAAATGAAATGTATTTATCCCATCTCTTCCCCTAGTTAATATATGTTTCCATCTCATTTGTAAAACTGACCCAGTCGGGACAACTTGACTGACCATGACGACAGGGCGCCCGTACTGTAAATTGGGGCACTAGGGGTTCCTACCCCCTTTGTCGTCGGGATGCCTTTTTCTTAATCCTCAAGGAAGTTGTAAGATTTCATTTTATTTTTAAACTAGCTTATTAATTAAAACCAGCTTTGTCCGAGTTTATAAAGTACACCTCGCAGTACTTGTTACACCCGGAGTTATTAATCGTAAATTTCAAAATATATGTAATAAAACCAATTTTAAGAACATTATCAGAATGCCTATAA